GAGGCACAGCAGCCCACACTCACACTGGCCTTGCAGAACGCGCAATCTCTTTGATCAAGACAGTCTCTCTCAAGACCAAGGCCGATTGCGTGAAGCAGGGCATCACCTACCTCACCGATGAGGACATCGTCGCTGAGGCAGCCATGGTTGGCAACCTCACCCTGAACTATGGCGGCTCTGTGCCTGATCAGGGTTTATTCGGCTTTATGCCCAAGGACGCCTACGACCCAGAGTCCAAGACTCTCACCAGTGCCAACAGCATCATTGAGCAAGTACCCGACTACACGGAGGCGCATCTTCGTCTGCGGCTCATCGCGAAGGCCAACATGCTACAAGCAATAGTCGAGGAGAGGCTGGCACGCGCTACCAACACGAGACAACAGAGTTTCGACACGAAGTGGCTCGAGACCTTGAAACCACACGACAAGGTTGATATTTGGAGAGCTCCGGAGAGGAAAGACGCCGACGGTTGGAGAGGTCCAGCGGACTTCATCTCTTTGTCGAAGGACCTCGGTACCGCCATTGTCACACATCAGGGACAACCTTTCATCGTGCCAGTCCGACATCTGCGACCACGGCAACTGTGCTACCATGTTTTGGGTTTTCACATCGACTCGCACAACATCTATCTGGACAACACAGAAACACCAGGCGCTTTAGCGCAGTTGTTTGAAGTGATTGAGAACTGCACACCAGGAGTACTACATCGCATGGGTGAAGTACCTGATGGCAAGGGCGGTCTGACACTAGAACCACGAGATCTCCAAGACGAACCGTCGCAGCTCTGGCTTTCCATCCAGCACCTGGCCAGTTCAGTTTTCGGACTACCTGGAGTGGATTCCATCTTCTTCGGTACGGGTTTCAGGATTGTACATTCATTGAAGCCACTTCGGCATGGAGTATTGATTGCATGGCATCCCGACCGTCGGAAACACTATATCAACCGTGAGCTCAACTTGGACGTCCAGAACAACATCAGCAACATCATTGGAGCAACCTGGTACAGTCATTATTTCTTTATTCTGGCATCAAAGGAGGCTCCAATTTCTCACGACGAATATCGACCGATTGACGACTTGGATATATCCAGTATCACCATCCTCGAGGACGCCTCAGAGAACAGTCCACCGCGAGCGACACGACATCAGCCCAACGACATCGGATCGACAGCGACGATCACTACGCCCGCTCCGGCATTGACTGAAGGTACGGCATCGCTTGAGATGACCTTGGAAGATGCAGAGGACAACTTGTCAACGGAACTCGGTCGGCTTATCCCTTCTCCCGAACCCGCTCGGACACCGCGATCGGCACTGAAGGACAGCAGTCGTGAGTCAGTCTATCGAACACCGGACCATCGTCAGGTTAGGATCGCTGAGACACCTCTGATAGACCTGGACGTGAGGCACGATGTATCAACACCACCACGACGAGCAGCAGACTCAAGATCTAGCATGTCCGATTTATCTCATAATTCGGTATTACCAACGGCATCTGGCGGCAACGGTTCAACCTCAAAATCATCGGCAATACCTCCTATCTCACACCATCCTGCACCACCAGTACCTGCGCAACAGTGGTATCCAATACAGCTGCAGCCTGTGATCTTACAACCCACTGTGATCGATCAAAGCATGCAGCAAGTCGATCAGAGTATGACACAGTCTGATCTGATCTCATCACTATCTGATCAGAGCATACGACAGGCAGAGCAGCATCAGGACAACGCGAGCATGGATCTTACGCAGGAGATGAGCAGGATTATGGAGGAAGCCGATCGACAGCATGAGGCACGTCTTCAACAGATTCAAAATGCACCACAAACAATGGAACAAGATCAGGATTTCACGAAGGAGATGAGCAGCATCACCGAGGAGATCAATCCAGGACAGGCACCTCTCTATCCACAAGCACAGGATGAGACTGCAGGGAACTCGTCACGTGATCTTGTTGAGGAGTTGGAAAGGTTGATATCCGAAGACGAACAGGATGAACGACACTTACCTGAGAAGCGAGACATCGACACGTCTGGTAGCATGGAACCGATGCACAAGATGATGAAGCACAATGATACAGGAGAGGAGCCCCTACCTCTTCCAGAAACCAGACGACACGACGAGCCTGTACCGCTTCCAGATCTTGAACACCCGGAATCAGACGCAGAACCTGTACCTCTAGAGGGCAGCTCCTACTATTCAAAGTACGACGATCATCACTATACGCACTTCCTCACGGAAAAAGCTAAGACATCCTGTACTTCGGGAGCCTTGGACCTATTGCAATTGTATCTAGATGTCAATCACATGAAGGACGACTTCGAGGACTACAAGCACTACGTGAACGACGCTTCGCCCATGACGCTCCCATAGAAGAGGACCGACAGCATGTTCGTAGTGGAGAGTACGGGCGAGGCCGAGTGTTTCTACTATGATATCCTTGAAGACATGTGTATACCCATCTACGCTTCACAATCGGAACATCTCGTGGCCGAGGAAGACTTTGCCAAATGGTGGGATCTCATCGAGCCCGCAGATCACAAGGAGATCAGTTCCTACGTGCAGCACGATTGCTTTCGCCCACGTCTGAAGACAGACTGTGCGACGGACAATTTCATTGATTCCGTATGGGTGCGCAGATGGATGTGGAAAGAAAAATGGGTCTTACGTTCACGCTTGTGTGGTCGAGGTTTCAAGGACAATCAAAAGTACGCGGTGGATCGTCACAGCTCCACAGCAGCTCGAGTCAGTCAACGCATGATGATATCCCTAGCACAGACGCACGACAACTTCCAAGTTGAATCATGGGACATATCATCTGCTTTCCTTCAAGGTCTGAAGTTTGAGGAGCTGACTCGCAATTCCAAGAAGCTCGGCCTGGACATACGCGAGAAAAGACATGTGTACATCATTCCACCAGCCAACGTTTGGCGACATCTGCGAGATCTCTCAAAGATATTTGATATTCCCGATTCTGAAACGCATCTGTACGTTCTAGAATGCATCAAACCTGTACCGGGCTTGGTCGATGCACCTTTGTTGTGGCAGGCAGCCTTCACTTTGTACGTATGCGACGACATGTCAGGAGCAAAGGCATTGCTTGACGAGAACTGCTTCACCTGGCACTCAGGTGATGAATTGATGATGTCCACTACGCTCCACGTCGACGACCTACTACCAGTTGGACGACAAGATTGGCTAGACTGGGGACATCAGCTCATGGAGAAGAAGTTTGGTAAGATCACGAGGAAGAAGATGCCATTCACTCATCTGGGATGTGAATACACTCGCACATCCAACGGCTGCATCTTCATCAATCAAGACGCGTACTTGGACACGATCAAGGCTCCCGAGATATCGAAGCATCGACTACAGCAAGACAGTGATTTTTGCACGAAGGAGGAGATTCACGATTATCGTTCATTGTGCTGCCAACTGCTGCATCTTTTGCAGACCAGATGGGACGTCAGTGCAGCTACTACGCAGCTTCAGTCCAAGCAGACAAAGCCGACCATCGCCGACATGAAGGCCTTGATTCTGACTCTAGATCGAGCCAAGAGGAATCGGCATGGCATGGGATTGTACTTTCATCGTCTACATGGTCCATTTAAGCTATCTTCCATCACAGATGCAAGTCATGGTTCGAGGGTAACAAGCTATGCTCATGAAGCGCAGGGATTGTTCTTATGCGAGGATAGACCAATCAGAATCACGAAAGATGGCTTGCTCTGTCCAGATGATTACAGCAGGTTCATTTCTAAGGCTCATCCTTTGTCAGGCACATCTAAGAAAGGCAAGCGGATCAGCTACTCCACATCTCATGCAGAGGCAGTTTCAGCAGTTGGTGGATGTCAGAATGCTCAGTACGTGGCCCTACGCTATACAGAACTATTGATGAAACCATGGATCACCAGGACATCTACGACTACACTTCAAGGTTTGATGAATCTACAGGAGCAAGGATTGACAGTTTTGCCGGTTGAAATGGGAACGGATTGTTTTGACCTGTGTCAATTGATAGTTGGACAGAAAGGTATTCCAGTGGACAAGACTCAGAGGTTATGTATCCTCTCGTTGCGTGAGGATCGCGTGAGTGGCAGAATGATGCGTGTGTTCCACCTACGTACGGATCTGATGATCATGGATGGTTTAACTAAGGTGGGAACGTTTCCGAAGTTGATGCAGTACATGACGACAGGTATTATCGATCTGACCAGGACTACTTCCACGGGCACCACTACGAACATTAAGAAGCAGAATGAGAAGCCGATCACGATCAGGAACAGCAGCGTGAAGATGAACTTCCAGGATATCGACTTAGTCGAGTTATCTGAGGCGCCGGTCAGCGCCTTGTGTCTTTCTACCTATCCTCAAGAAGCAGGATCAGAGTAAGGATATCAGCAGGCCCCTGGAGTTAGGTAGAGGATATTATAAGCAGACAGAGTAGAGTAGAGTGTTCAGAATGAACTGAAAGAGTGAGATGCTCCGCGACATCGCGGCTCAAGTCATCCAGAAAAGCATTCATAAGCTAACTTTTGCCGGGAGGGAGGGGGGGGGGGGGAGGGGTTCCGGCAGGGGGGGGGGATTTTCGGAGGGGGGGGGGAGACCCCCGGGTTCCGGAGGAAAAGGTTGGCAATTTTCCACAGTAAAGCGGCGGTGGATCACGCTCTCTCGAAACTGCAGTTCGCCCTGTCCGGTAACGGTGACGCTTGGGCGGGGTGGGGCACGTCGGGGCGGGGGTGCGCCACAATCGACTTCGGATGGGTGGGGGGCGGGGGTGGCCCGGGTAACGACCATTACGCGCCCGAATTTGAAAACAATCTCCCTTGCCGGCCATGCGATGTTCCAGCCCCCGTAAGCCCCGACCCTTGCCCCAGGGCCGGTTGTTTATCCAGGGCCCTTTCCTTGCGTCCCCAGGGCCCGGTAATGGCGCCCAGAGGCCGAAAACGCGGAAAAACCTTTGCTCTGGTATTCTCACGGCGCAAGCATATTTGGGTTCTTGTCCTCGGCCTGGGGCGGCAAGGTCAGCTCGAGCAGCATCTCTGGGCGCGTGCGCCCCGCGGCGTCCCGCTCCGGGGCGGCGCCGTCCTGCGCCGCCGCGCGGGAGAGCCCAGAATCGACTCGATAAGTCGGATCGGCGGTCGAAATGAATGGATCGGCGGAAATCGGCAGCAGAGACCAGAGAAGTCGAGTGGGCGGAGATCGGCAGGCTAACAGACGGAATCGGAATCCGAGGTCGAATCGAATCAGAATCGGAGATCACGAAATCGAATCGAATCCAACCGGAGGAATCGAAAGGAGCCTTGCCGCGCGGGGCGGGCCTTCTATGAGAAAAATTCGCCGACCCTGTCGGCGAGTGTGGGGTGTCTGTCTGCTCCTGTCGACGGGACGCCTTTTCTGTTTATCCTTCCCCGTCGGGGGTGAGAAAGTACTCTCCCGTCGTCGGGGGGAGGAGTTCGGGGATTGAGGGAAATCGACCCACGTTGTAGTCACGTCAAAAGGAAGCCACATCCCTTTGTCCCTTCCCGGCGTGGAGGGGGGGGTCCCGGGGGGGGGGTCAGATTCGCATCCCCCGTTTGCGGCTTTTACAGAGGGGCTCTCTGTAGATGCGCTGGAGGAGGGGGGGTCGCCACGACGGATCCGCAAGAGCGCCCCTAGACGGCCCAAACCCTACAAGACAGCCCAAGAACGCCTGAGGACGGCCAAAGGGGGCCCCCAGACGGCCAGAGGGCGCCGCCCAGATACGTTTCCCCTTCAAGAGCCCCCGAAACTATGAAAAACAGTCTCCAGAAGACCCCAGAATGCCACAACGCCTCCTCCTCCTCCTCCTCCTCCTCCTCCTCCTCCTCCTCCTCCTCCTCCTCCCCCTCATCCTGCTCCTCCTCTGCCTCCTCCTCCTGCTCCTCCTGCTCCTCCACATCATCCTTCCCCCACCCTCCTCCTCCCTCATGCGCCTCTTCTTCCCTTCCTCTTCCCCCCCACTCCTCCTCCTCCTCCTCCTCCTCCTCCTCCTCCTCCTCCTCCTCCTCCTCCTCCGCCTCCTACACCCCCCGCTCGTTTTCGTCTTCGTCGTCTTCAGGGTCGGCGGCACCGTTCGTAAGGCCTTCGCAGTCGGACTTCGGAAATTGGAATCCGAGGTCGAATGGAATCGGAGCCGGGAGCCAGCGAAGCTGACTATGCTTTTTCACTGATAACGGGGCGGGGGGTTCGGGCGGGGGGGTAACGGTGACGGCGGCGGCGGCGGCGTTCAGCCGCCAGGGTGCGTCCGCGCCGCCGGCGCATCCATCGGTTGCGTGCATCAATCGGCATGTGTAGAGTGGGGTCCAGCCCCACCCCTCCCGTAGGATCGTCAGCGTTAGCCTGGGGGTGCGGGGCGGGGATTGGCTCGGGTGACAAGCGTTACAATAGGGGCCAGTCCATAAGAACCCTTTCACAAAGAACCCAACCCTGAGAGCCCACAACGTCCATTGATTTCTGGTGTGGGAACGTCACGGGAACGTCATAAGGAGCCGAACTCCATACACCGACGCCTTTGTCTGGCCTCACACTAAATCTCGCACAGGAAAGCGGATCCTGGTGTATACGGGATCCTGGTGTATACATATACATTCTTCGTTGTCTCCCTGGGAAAACGGGGGAAAAACGTATACACCACACCATCCCGACATCGTCCCCGACCCTCAAAGAAGTCCTGGGATTGAAAAACCGCCCGCCACTGGTAATGTATATGCTCCAGTTTCCGACGTCACGCTCCCCATCGCAAAACCATCGGAACCCAAGAAACCCAGGGCACCGTGGGGGCAGGCAGGGTGTTTCTTGGCATGGGTCGGCGCTGTGCCCTGTGGAGGAACGCAAAGCGCCCACAAACCGAGACGACTCGAATCGGAGGAATCGATTCGAGCCCTGCCGCGCTGGGCGGGGGGGGGTCCTGGCTACCCCGCCCCGTATGATCGTTGGCGTTCGCCCGCGGGTGGGGGGCGGAGTCTGGCTCGGCTGACCAGCGTTGCCCTGGGGAGGAAGGCAAAACTAGCACAATAACAAAAAACGGCACGCGCATAAACTTTTGGCGCTCCGCGCGGATTTCTTGGATCTGCGCTGGACCCCCCTCCCTGGTGCGCGGAGCGCGCCAGGGGCGGCGCCGGAGGCGCCGCCAAGTGGGGCCCAGCGCGGATCCAAGAAATTCGAGCAAGAAATCATGCTTATGATGCTTCTTCTTCTTCTTCTTCTTCTTCGAGGAACCGCTCACACATCGAAGCGATTCGAACCGGAGGAGCCGAGTCGAGCACTGCCGCGCGGGGCGGAGCGGGGGGGGGGGGGCGACGCCCCCGAGAGCTCCGGGCGTCCGCAGGGCGGGACTCGGGGAGCCCTGGCCGGGGCGCAAGTGGGGCGCAATTTGGCGGCCCGCGCAAGTGGGCAGGGGGAGGGGGGAGGCTTCTTAGAAGGAGGCTGCTTCTTAAAAAGGAGCCCAGGAACACACGAAAAAATAAACACAAATCCCAGGATTCCCTATGTGTTTGTGGGGTTTTCGTCTTCCCCCCACTTCGTATATATTGTTCCATCTTTTCATTGAAGGTCGACGATTACTTGCGTGTGTGTGTGTGTGTGTGTGTGTGTGTGTGTGCGTGCGTGCGTGCGTGCGTGCGTGCGTGCGTGCGTGCGTGCGTGCGTGCGTGCGTGCGTGTGTGCGTGCGTGCGTGTGTGTGTGTGTGTGTGTGTTATTTCCCCTCGTGATCTTAGTATGCGCTGGCCCTACATCTACAGATATCGCCCGCGCCTTCTAAGAAGCAGGGGGGTGCAGGCCCACCAGAAAAAAAACACTGCAGTGTGAACAGGGCGGCAGAATCCCCCGACCCCTTGGAGTGTCCTCAGCGTGTGAGATGCTTACCCCTTCCGCGACCCCCTCGCCCGATACAGTGGTCTGGCCGATTTGGAAGGAGGGGGATCCGCCCAGATCCCACGGGCCTGGCCCCAGCGCATCATGGGAGGATAGAGGCCCCCACAACGAGCCCAGAGGGCCCCATGAGGCCCCCAAGACAGTCCAAGAGGGCCCCCAGTCGCCGAAAGCTCCTCCAAGACGGCCAAGTAGCCTCCGCACGGCCCAAGACACCCCCAAAACGCCCCGGAAGACCTCCAAGAGCCTTCCCGAGAGGGCCCCACGAGGCAACATTCATTGTTTTGCAGTCCGTTTTTGAAAGATTTTAGCGTGCTCGCCTTTTCGGTGTCCCAACGCTCCACGACCTCCCAAGAGGCTCCTAAGATCACCCCAGACGGCCCCAGAGGCTTCCAAGAATGCTCCTAAACAAACAAAGAGGGCCCACACAGCCCCACAGACGGCCTCCAAGAGGCCCCCGATAGACCCCCAGGCAGCGGCCAACGGGGCACCCAGAAGCTCCCGAAAGGTGCTCAAGAGGCCCTCGGAAGCAACACACCACGACCGCCCGTTCCCCAATGGGTCGGCGCTGTGGCGTCAGCCCAAGAACCTTGTAGTAGATTGTGTCCCGAGCGGCACGGCAAGCAAGCGCCCGCCACGGAGATAAACTAGAAGATTCTCGGCGCGCGCGTCTTCCCTTTGGGGGCGACGCACAAATGACAATAGTATGTTTGGGTGACGCCGATTGGTGTCCGTTCCATGGGAGCCTGTGTGGCCCGCCGCGCTGTCCGAATAGGGCCGGATGTGGAACATCTTTGGGGCCGGATTTGGTCGGGATGTGGTGGACCCCCCTTCACAAGAGAGACGAAAATAACGAGAAGAACGAGGACGGAAAGAAGCAAAAGAAAGGGCGTGGAGGGTGGAGGAACAGGAGGAAGCGCCAAATGAATGCGGCAAGGAAAACTGATTTCAATGTCGCCGCCCAAGGATCCGCGAACAGACATTGAAGGGAGCCTGGGATCGGAGGAGGGCTGGCCGAGGCGGCAGCGGCCTTCCCTGTCGCCCCCCCCCCCCGATCTCCGAAGATCAATTGTTCATTGCGGGTGTTTCTCTTCAGTGTTCTCGTGATAACGGGTCTTACGCAAGAAGACATAGAGACCTTACGCGGTGGCTTGGGAGGGCTGCCAGCGCGGCGCGCTACACTACGCGCGGCCTTGCGCGGGCAGCTTACGCGCGAATGTCCGCGCAGTCGAACCCGATGTTTTGCGTCTCTCGCCTTAGGTCGGGCATGTCCCCCTACAGGGGGCTTTTGGAAGAAATTCGCCGGCCCAACGGGCCAGGGCGTGCCAAGATCTCCGGTACCTGGTTAACAGTATTTCTAGTTCGCGCGCGCGGGGCGGCCCCTGGGGGTCCCCGGGCGAAAAGTACCCCGGCAAGGTCCCGGCAAGTCCCCGGCAAGTCCCCGGCAAGTGTCGGGTCAGAGATGCCGGAGTTCTGTTTCGGAGCCCAAGAGGGCTCCAGATCGGTCCAAGAGGGCCCCGAGAAGCTTTCTAGACGGTCCAAGAGAGGCCCGAGACGGCCAAAGATCGCCCGAAGACGCCCCAGATGGCCCCAAGACAGCCCAAGAGGCCTCCAAGACGCTCCAAGGGCCTTCCAGGAGGCCTCCGAAGAGGGCCCCAAGTCGCCAAAATCGTTGGTTTTCATTGGTTTTTTCGATGTTTTTTGCGTTCTGGCTTTTTTGGCTTCCGGACGCTCCAAGACGGCCCAAGAGGCCTTCAAGACTGCTCCAAGACGGCCCACGAGGCTCCCAAGACGGCCCCGGAGCGGCCCAAGAGCGCCCCCAAGGCGGCCCAAGTGCCGCCCAAGGCGGACCAAGAGGCCCCAAGACGGGCCCAGCAGGGGCTCAAGAAGGGAACCGAGAACTGAAAAATCGAGCCCTCCGCCCGAGAAGGCGCCCAGGACCCCGAAATAGGCCCCAAGAGACTCTCCAAGACACCCCCAAGACGCCCCAATAAGCTCCCGTGAGGCCCCAAGAGGACCAACAACGTCAGGCCCCAGGCCCCAAGAGGACCAACAAATATCGCCAAGAGCCCGCCGAAAGCCCCCCAAGAGACCGTCATGAGAGCTCAGGAGGCCCCCTGGAGGCCTCCCGAGTTCTCCAAGAGGCCTAAAAAGAGGCGCCAAGAGGCCCCAAACAGCCCCACCGAGGCTCCAAGAGGCCACGAACGCGCAAGCAAACGCCTGCGATGGCACAATACGGGCCGGCGGAATGAGCGAAGCGATTAAATAATAAAAATAGTCAAACAATATTCATCAATAGTCAAACTGGTGCAGTCAAGTCGTCACACTGCTATGTGTTAACTGTTTTCAAATATTCTCTCTGTAGAGGGACGTGCCAGACTTACCTCTCGCATGGGGGACCATCTCTCCGATGTGTCTTTCGCATGTAAGGGAGATGAATCAGACTTGTTTTTGCTTGGGCCGTGCGCGAGAAACGCACGGAGAAAACAGATGGCACGATCCCGAGGCCCACTAATCCTGCGTACGCGGGACCAGTTACCCGCTGCTGGGCAAAGCAAGGCTCTGGATGGCGCCGAACGGGATCGAGAGGCTGCAAGGCCCTGGGGCAAAACGGCTGCCAGTCACCGTCAGGATGCTCGAGAACATGCGTAGGAGGCTGAGGCCTGAGGCGGACCCAGATGACGCCGTGCTCTACCACCTGATCATCACGGCATTCTTGTTCCTGATGCTGATCGGAGGGTACGCCTACGCGGGCTACTGGGACCACAAGAAGGTACTTACGGGCCTGGACGTGGCGGCGAAAGCGACAGGTGGGCAAGTGCCTCACTTCGCCCAGGCTGACGAGGTGGTCCTGTGATTCAAAGCGAACATGACGGATCAGGTTGGCGCTGAGATGGCCAGGAACCACTGCTGGGCCCGAGGTGAGATCTCCCAGGATTGGGCGGCTGAACAGTACCAAAGGCACTTCCCGGCGAGGATGGCAGGTGGCAAGGAGGCTCATCTCCCGCTGGCGAGGTTGTCGAAATGCAGCCCGATCGCGAGGCAGAAGAGGATCCAGGAGGAGCTGCAGAGGGCGGCAGTGGCTGAGGGGTACCCGGCGTCGCAGTTCGGTTCTCATTTGCTGAGGATCGGAGGGGCCACGGCGTTGTACCCCCACTACGGGGATACCGAGGTCTGAAGTGTCGAAGGGGTGGGGAAGGTGCAACCGCGACACATTCCACCAGTACCTGAGGGAGGATTGAGGATTGAAAAATCGGCATCAAAAAGTTCGTTTTCATTTTCACCACGTATTGATGGTGGTGGTGGCGCTCACGAGTATCAATAGTGCAGTGGTGGAGGGAGAGGTGTGTACGATCATGCTGATAGAGACGTGCCAACCTGTTTCTGCCAAGAGCTCACACCAAATGGGGTCAAAATGATGGGGAAGAGCACGCCAAAGCTATTGGTTTGTGCAAGAATGTTCACGCATTGAAGACAGAAGGACATCGTATAGAATTTCTTGAGGGGGTGGAGTGCTTGAAATCGTGGGGCGTGATTCTATTGAACGAGATTTTAATGGGCTACATCCGTGATTTCCTTCAAAACCACGTCCGACAGAACGGCTTGGCTGGACGTTCAATTTGGTTTGTCCCTGGTACGGATCGTGTCCGTGTACATGCCGAATGCTTTGAGTCCGGATGAGGAGGTGGAAGGCCTGCACAGCGTGCTTGTGAGGATGCTGGTAGATCTAAATTGGTACTTCTTGTTGGAGGCGACTGGAACGCTATCGTGAGCAAAGCGGGGAACCACATAGCTGACAACTACGTCGGAGAACATGGAGGGGGGCACCAAAATACAAGCGGCGAGTGGATGGCATCCTGGGCTCGTTCTGAATCGGCTTCCATCGTTGGGACGTCTTTCCCCAAGAATTTCAGTCCACAGTGGACGCATGAGCACGTGGGTGTACGTCGACAAATCGATGATATTTGTATCGATGCTGGCGCCCTGGGGACGGTGACAGACAGTGAACCTACAGATGCTATCAATGTAGGTGTGGAGCACAGGACGGTTGTCGCAAAGTTTCGGGTCCGAACGCGCATTGGCGAATGCACGTCCAAACGTTTCAAGTGGAGGTTGTCAGGGGCATCCAAAATTACATTTGCGAGGCGGGCGGACGAACTGATTGCGGACATGCAGTGCAGTGGCAGGCGTGATTAGATTGACGATCAAGTGACGAATCGCATATGCATTCCTGAATAGCTGCAATTTTGACTTTGACAAAGCGTTTGATTCCGTCACCCACGATGTCATATGGGAAACGTTGCGCGAACAAAATATGCCAGAGCAATGCATCAAGATTCTTGTGCGCCTGAACACCGGACAGACCGCCCAGGTGAAAGCCGACTGCAGAAGCCGCACCTACAAGCTGGACCGTGGAACTCGACAAAGAGACCCACAGCACAGCATTATTCAATACGGTTTTGGCACACATCATGCGGCGGCTGAAGACGGAGTGGCGGCAATGCCAGTCTGGAGCTCGCATAAAACATTACTTCTTGACGGACCTCAGGTTTGCAAATGGCGTGTTGTTACTCGGAACCACGCGGGCGCACGGGAGGCGCATGCTCGAGGAAATGCAAAGACGTGGAGGAGCAGTTGTCCTGAACTTGCAGATGGGTAAGACTAAGAGTATGTAGAATGTGGAGTGCCGAAAGGGCGCCATTCGTCAACCTAGCGTTCCTGTTGGCGTTGGTTCTCTCGATGTATTACCAGATGGCTGCGATACGATGTATATTGGGAGGTTGGTTTCTATTAATTAATGACATCCACGACGGGGAAGTCGGGCATAGGATCTCCAGAGGTTGGGCCGCTTCCGACATGTACAAGACTGAGCTGACGAACCGCCACTATCCGTTGAAGTACAGATTTCGTCTGTTCAATGCTGTTGTGGTGTCATATTTTCTTTATGGCAGTGGGTGCTGGACGATGACCGCTGAACGAGAGCACAGGTTGAGAGTAGTGGAGCGTAAACTGATGCGCAAACATGTGTTTACGCCGCGGATGTACTACGAGCTGGCAGACCGGAGCGTTGATGCCGAACCTTGGTCAGGTTGGAGGCAACGTGCCACCTAGAGAGCCGAACATGAATTTCATAAACTTGGCATCCTTGGTCTGGTAGAACAACAACGCGTCCGGAAGGGCAGGTTCTTGGACAAGATCGGCCAGTGCGGCGACAGACGTTGGCCGAAAAGAGTGGCTGACTGGAGCCCTGAAGGAGTCCGTCTGACCAGGCGCCCCCGCAAGCGCCGGAAAGATCAGCCATATATCCCCCACGAGGCCAGCGAGCCTGACACCCCTTCCTAGGCACGGGTTTGGGGCACCCCCGGCAGCGCTTCCTGCTTCCTGCTTCCTGTGGGAGGCCAACGGGACGGCCAGAGGGGTGTCGACAGCGATGGCAGCGTCGGTCTCGACCCTCCACGTGGGCTACGACGCGACAAAGGAGAGGGCTTGCAAGAAGGGCAGGCCGAGGGCGGTCCCCGCAGGAGAATGAGTACCGGAGGAGCAGTGAGGAGTGAGGAGGTTGGCCTCTACGAGGCGCTGGCGTACGCCGGCGGGCACGCTGGGAGTCACTGGGTGACTGGGTGCGGGCGGGCGATGGCGCCGAGGCTAGCGGGAAAAGGAGTCGGGGCCCCGCTTGCGGTGCGTGTAGGCTGAGGTCCGAGGTGCGGGCCTGCAGCGAGGCAAGAGGGTATCCATCTGGTTGGCCCAAAAAGGAGGTCCAGTGAAAAGGAGGTGGTGCAATAGATTTGTGGGTTGCAATAGATTTGTGGTGTGCACAGTATTCCGGTGCGCAAATGTATTGCTGCATTTTCGCATGCAATACACTAGTTGCAATACGATGCAACACAATCCTCTGGCGCAGTACATTTGCAATGCGATTGCCCCAAATCTATTGCGTCACCCCCTTTCACCTGAACCCCCGTGTGGGTCACGAGGAACCTCGGCGGCAGGCAGAGGCAGTGAGGAGCGCCGCGAAGAGGTGGTCAGCCTCAGGAACTAGGCGGGTGAGGGCCCGCACGAGGAGGCTGCCCGGCAGGAGAGGTCCCAGCCTCGGGTGGTCCGCCAGCGCAGGCCCCGGGGGCACACCGCGGCGTGAGGCGTCTGCGGACGCGGCGGTGTGCGCGGTGTGAGCGGCCTGCGAGGTTGGGCGGGTTGCGAGCCGCCGTGGCGACAGAGTGGCCTGCCCGATCAGCGGGCAAGCTCTTCGACGTGCTGCGCGGCATCTGCCACAAAAGGTGCCGTCAGCGTCACACGTGTTTGCATGTTGTTACCGCTTTGCGGTTGATTGCACGTCCCCAGCTCCCTTCAGGCCTCTTGGGATGTAAGCCGTTGCGTTCGAACGAATACACGAATGCATCAACGCGCTGACAAAGCGTGCAGACCAACACCTACCCCATCCACGCAGGAACTGCTGCAAACACTATTGCACCTACTCCCGCCACCCCCACCTGTGCTGGGGCCCCAGCTACTCCGCCTTAGAGTCCAGTCAGCCCGCGGCCTGGCGGTTGGCGGGGCGCTCCTCCAGCAGCTCCGGCGGTATTTCTGGCATGCCGTGGAGGGCGGGCGCACGCGCGTCGCGCTCTGCGGGGGCCTGTGCGTTGCTGGGCGGCCCGGGGGCCAACGTCTTCCCTCCCCCTCATGCCTCCTGCCTGCCTGCCTGCTCCCTGATCCTCCCCCTGCCTCCTACTCCTGCCTCCTGCCTCCTCCTCCTCCTCCATTTCTTTTTTCCTTATACAACGTCTCTCTGTCGCACTCCGAGGCTAGTTTTTAGGACGGGCCGAGCGTTTCTCCTCAGACTTCCGCACCACTTATGACCCTGAAGCTTGAAAAAAGTTGCAAGAGTTTCACAGATTGAGGGCGGATCCTTTTCAACATGTGGCTCTCGCCTTAGCGCCGCGCACATTCGTTTATGAACACTTGCAACAGCTTCACAGATAAAGGGCGGGTGGTTTGCAGAATGTGGCTCTCGCCTTAGCACCGTGCACATGTGTTATACATGTTTGCAAGAGCTACACGCATGGGGTGGTTTTCAAAATGCGGCTCTCGCCTTAGCGCCGCGCACATTCGTTTTGAACATTTGCAACAGCTTCACAGATGGAGGGCGTGTGGTTTTCGAAATGTGGCTCTCGCATTTGCGCCGCGCACTTTCGTCTAAACAAACAGCACGCGTTTCAAGGATTGAGGGAGGATCCTTTTCAATATGTGGCTCTCGCCCTAGCGCCGCGCACATTCGTTTTTGAACATGTGCAACAGCTTCACAGATAAAGGGCGGGTGGTTTGCAGAATGTGGCTCTCGCCGTAGTGCCGTGCATATTCGTTATACATGCTTGCAAGAGCTGCACGGATGGAGGGGGGTGGTTTTCAAAATGCGGCTCTCGCCTTAGCGCCGCGTACAGTCGTTTTAAACATTTGCAACAGCTTCACATATGGAGGGCGGGTGCTTGTTTAAATGTGGCTCTCGCTTTAGCGCCGCGCGCAGTAGTTTTGAACATTACTAGAGCTTCACAGATTGAGGGCGGTTCCTTTTCAACATGTCGCTCTCGCCTTAGCGCCACGCACATTCGTTTTCTAGCTTTGCAAGAGTTTCACTGGTTCCCCTGATCAGCGTACAAGAAAGGCTGTTTCGGAAGGATTCAGGATTATGACTGTGCAACAATTGCGCTGATTCGCGGTGTTGAAGTCCCAAGAATGGCGTTCTGGCACGATTCAAGATCGCCACTACGCAACAATCAGGCTGACCCGTGGACTTGAAATCCCGAGAACCGTGTTTTGGCATGCTTCAGGCTCTTCAAACGGTTGTCTTCAAACGAGGCAGTTCCCTCAGTGGAAGTGAAGCGTTGTATGGGCCTATGAAGAGGAAGCTTGGAGGGAAGGTTTATTCCAATATCGTTGACGACTCTTGGGTTTACACTGGTCCACCTCCTCCTTCCCCTCCTCCTCCTCCTCCTCATCCTCCACCTCCACTTCCTCACCACCCATCTTCCCCCTGCCCCTCTTCCTCCTCCCCGCTCCCCCCCTCCGTCCTCCTCCTCCTCCTGCCTCCTCCCTGCTCCTCCCTCCGTCTCCTGCTCCTCCCCCGTGGCCGTTCAGGCTCAGGCCGCAGGGGGGCCGCAGCCTTTGGCCTCTCGCCCCCCCCCGCTAACCACGCAGCGCCGCCCTGGCGGGCATGTCAGCGCCTGCCGCTGGAGCAGCAGGGCCGGGTCCGGCATACTGAAGAGTGGGGCCAAGGTGGCGCCGAGTGAACTGCCCAGGGAGGGCTCACATTTTTTCCTCGACACAGCGATGTTGAATGACCCCGGCCCGAATGACTGCAAATTACCACAGCGTGACTGTGCCGCAACGTGAGGCGGAGTAGCACGTAGCACATCATTGATCACCTCTGAGCCCAGGGTGGGCTCAGAATGGATCCACATGGCACGGGCGAGGAAGAATATACCCGTCGGCCGGACGAAGTGGGTCGAAACATGAAGTGGGAAGGCGTTGAAAGTAGATTGGGCTTCCGCGCGCCCCCCTGGAGAGGAGGGAAGCGGGACAACCGTTCGACTCCTGAAACAGGAAGGCGCCCGAAATGGATTGGCGCCTGGAAGACCAGCAATACAGACTTCCGACCACATGTGGGTATGGACTCAAGGATTGATGTCATGACAATGGACACCCTAACAATGTTATCATGTGTTGTTGGGAAACGTGCTAATAACGATCAAACCATGTTTGTCTACATGCTTGATACATGCCTCAACCATGTTTCATACATCTGGAAGTTATTTGGCAACACGCTTCCTTTCCATTGATCATCGTCCACAACACGAGGAGCAGTTGGAGGGGCCAGAAGAGGCCCGCGCGGAGGTAGACAGCGGGCGTGGCCAGGTGGGGCAGTACACCATCAGACGGCGCAGCCTCGCGGCAGCTCAAGACCTCGGAAGGATCCCAAGAACACTGGATGGATGGAGCTCTCCCGTGGGCCAGCGAGCCGAGAACATCCGGGTGGGGCAGCACACTATGATCCAGTGCTGACAGTGCCGCAAAATCGAGGCACGGGAAGGCTCCCAAGAAGTTCCGATCGGTCCCCCACAGGCGCATGGGGCAACGACCGTGTCAATTGTTAGGGAGCCGCACGTGGGATTAGTCTTCCACGGTTTTCATAACTATTCACTCCGTTGAGCAAATCACTTTGGGTGAATCCTTCGACTCCTCAGAATTCTAGAGACGTCCGAGGATTAGTACTCGGACGCCAAAGCGACAGTGTCGCCACCGGGGTCCCCAGCTGAACGACTGGGCAATGGCAATCCCCATCCCCATTCGTTTGGTTCCACGCGGAGCAGTCAACTGCCACAGTTTGGAGGCATCCGAGGGGTTCATCTTCCCTGGCCTCCTACATTTGAAATTCCCCCCTCCTTCGCCCTCAATTCAGGGGCATAAGCTCGAAGTGAAGAAGAGTGGAAGTGGTGGCTGCAATTATTTGGAGCGCCAGTGACGGGCACGTGCAGGTGTGAAGAAGCATAGACATGCTCCAGGCAAGCAAGCCGGGACCATCAACGCAGCCAACGCAGGTCCAAGCAAGAAATGCCGGCGACGAGCGCCAAAGCGGGCTCGACGATCGCCTCCGGCAGAGGGTGTACGTCGACGACATCACTCTCTGGGCGCGCGGACCTGGCCACGAGGCGGCCGAGGTCGGGGAGGCCGTGCGTGACGCCCTCCGCTTAACGGCGGAGTTCGAGACGGCCATGGATTGGCGTCTCAACAAGGACAAACGCCGCCAGTTTGCGAACACAGCTGGTCTCCGCCGCGGGCTACGCGCGGAGACCCCAGGGGCTACTGCTGGCTGCGGCATCCGTGACCTCGGCGCGGCGTCCACCGCAGGGAGAGCTCGCCACTGCGCGGTGACGGGCGCGTGGGCTCGGGTGGCGGCGGGGCGGTCGCCCGCATCGCCCGGCTGTCGGTGGGCTTCCGGCAGCGCTGCCTGCTCGGCGCGGCGGCTGGCACGTCTGCCGGCATGCACGGCGCCTCGTGCGGCTGGCCCCCCGAACGCGAGCTGGCCAGCTTGCGATCGGCCGCGAGGCAGGCCGTCTGCCGGGGCGAGTTGCGGGCTGCTGCCGAGATTGTTTTCGGCGTGCTCAGCCCGAGCTGGCGCCTCGACCTTGCCGCGGTCGTTGCCCTCGCCCCGCTGTGGCAGGCGGCGAAGGCGCTGCACCGCCGGCGTTTGCCGATGGGGCTCAAGCGCGAGGAGATGGCAGGCGCGGTGGACGCCGGGCACGGCCGCCAGCAGGGGCCTTTCGCGGCCGCCTAGCGGAGCATGGCCGACCTCGGCCTCGGTGGCGATACCGAGTGCTGGGAGGGCGTGCCTTGGGCCCTGGAAGGCTGGCGGCCTCGCGACAGCCCGCTCCAGAACACCCGCGCGGCACTGCTGGACGCCTGGGCGCAGCGCGAGGCTCGCGCGGTGGCGGGGCGGCGCGCTAATCTCGAGCACGTCTCAGGCGGGGTCGACCGCTGGGCCACCCGGCGTCTACTGGAGTGCGAGGAGCTCGCGCTGGACGCGGCTGGCGCCCTGCGCGCGGTGCTCACGGGCAACGTGGTCACCGAGACGGTGGCCGCCAAGTGGGGCCGGCCCCCGCGCTGCCCGCACTGCGGCGCCTCGGAGGAGACACGCGAACACCGCTTCTGGAGGTGTCCCAAGTGGGGCGCTGTCCGCCTCGCCGAGCTGCGGGCTGGCGGCTTGAGCGAGGCCGCCCTGCTGGCGCGCCTGCCCGCCGGAGTCGCGCTCTCCAGGGTGCTGCCCATGAACGCGCGCCTGGCAGCGCTTGCCGCGCTTGTCCCGCAACAGCAGCCGCCGCCCCCGTTGCAACCCGCGGGGGTCGGCCCAGTGCAGGCCCGGGTACTAGTGTGGAGCGACGGCGCCTGCAAGCACCTTGCTGACCCGCTGCTGGCCCGGGCCGGGCGGGGGGTGCGCTTGCGACGGCGAGTTACGGCTCTACAGAGGGCCAGTAGACGGGGCCTAGACGGTACAACGCACCGAGCTCACCGCGGCCGTGCGCGCGGTCAGCGAGGCTGGAGGACCCTTGGAGTTGATCTCCGACTCCAAGTACGTGTGTCACGGGATCGCCGCGCTGCGCGGCGGCGCGCTTTCCCGCGAGTGGACGCACGCGGAACTGTGGGAACTCCTAGAGCCGCATTGCCAGAGCGGCTACGTCTCGGCGCGTTGGGTGAAGGGGCGCCTCGATGCGGATGCCGCGGCGGTCAGGGGCGTCGCGCCCAAGGCCTGCGGTGGCAACGCGGACGCCGACGAGCAGGTGGGTGCCGCGGCGCGCGCCCAGCTCCCTGCTCGGGCGCTCTGCACGCAGCGGCAGGTGCAGCTGCACGCGCTGAAAGTCCTCCAACGGCTGCTGGCGGCCGTGGAGCTGGCCGCGCTGCGGGCGAGCCGTGAGACCGCGCTGCGGGCGAGAAGGCCGCCGGCGCTGGGCGGGCGGGCCGCCGCAGAGGGCATTCGTGGCCCAGCCAAGCCAGCCGAGGGCGCGGCCGGAGCAAGGGGCGGCGGCTGGCGCGCCAGCTGGG